CCCTCCCCCCCTCTCTCCAGATAGATTTTTTTTTTTAAAAAAAAAAAAAACTTACTGGATAAATGAGAAAGATCAAGAAAGGTTTATTGTTCAGGCGACAAGAGAAGTTTGGTGTGAATGAAATGATTAATTAAATTCCTAATAGAGATTTGGAGTGAACATCTACCTCCTCCAACGTCCTGGAGGAGACATTTCATGCCAATAGAATAGAGAATATTTGGAACTCAGTTGAACTGTGGGGTCCTTGGTGCCCTCTGAGTTTGGGGGTTTTCGTTCACTTCATTCATCATTACTTAACCAGGTGACACCATCAGTGATCTGGACTCCCCTGTCCCACCTTTTGTGGGGCAGCCCCTGATGGTTTTTCAGAGAGGAAGGACTTGGAGCCAACTCCTGGCTCCTGCTAGGTGGAGAGACCCACTGAAGTGGGAGGGGCACCCGAGGGAGGTGGGGCACCTGAAGGCCCCGGAAAGGGAAGAATGGGGTGGAAAGTGGAATCCTTTCCAGCTACAGGCACAGGATGTTGAGGTGTGTAGTCCGACACGTCTGGAACAGAACAGGTTTCCTGGAATGCTGTTCTTGGCGCAAGAGCAGTACTGTATTTTAAATAAAATGCCTGGCTGTGTTTATAGGAGAGAAAAGGAGCTGCCTTAAACCCATAGTTTGATTTCAGTTGGCACCTTAAGCTGAAGAAAATCTTTGATTATTCTTTCATTGGTGAAAAGAAAGGAAAGGAAATATTGACACAAATGCCCGTGTCCTCCTGGACAGTACCTGGTTTCTCTTTAACCCCCTCATTTTAAAAGAAGACAAAACCAAGATTTAACATACAGGGTGCCCCTTTCTTCCCCACTCGGCCGGCATTCTTAAGAGCCACCCAGTTCGCCCCCACGAGGCTTTTTTCACCTCTCACTGTCGTCCCATAGCAGAGCCACCCACAAGCCAGCCATTCCTTCGCAATTAGGAGCTGAGGAGCTAAATAGGAATATAAATGCAAGTCCTCAAAATGCCTGTTTTCAAGGGAATTATCTTGGCTGTCTTGGGTTGACAAGCCACCTTTTTTAGTGTGTCGCACGCTCGGTTGGCGGTACCTTTTGGACAAAAAGGGGAAATTGTTCATTCGAACTGGCCTTTGTGAAGGTTTAGAAAGGAGCTGGAAGGAAGGCTGAGTTGACTTGCCAGGTCTTGGGAAGGGGGCAGAGCCTTGTTTCCCTTTATTGGGGGACAGATGTATGAACAAAGAGTAAAACGCAGCCCTGTCTGGGTGTCGGAAAGAGAAAAAGGCGTGCAGAATTCTCGGTAAAATGTATTTTTTTTGCGTTTTCACATGAAGAGGTGTTTGGGAGAGTCTCCTGATGAACAGTGTGTATCTCACTTCCTGAATTTGCAATTAGCCCCATCTTGCTTGTTTCCTACCCTGGAAAACCAGATTTTCCATAACTCTTGAATCCTCTGAATTCTAAAGTTTTTGCTACATTTTAGGATACCTTCTTTAAGTTATGTAGGATTTGAGGTAAAGACTCAGTGAAACACACCAACAAAAAGTTATGTACAAGTTAAATAACCTGAATTCTCAGTTTTGGCTGAAAGGGGTGAAAAGTTTTATTTTCTCATCCAAGACTCTAGAGCTGCTAAGCTGAGTCAGACTGAAGGGATCACTGATAAGAACAGACCGAGATGTGAGTGGGTCCCCATTCCCAGCAACAGTGTTTTCTTTTCAATAGGAGAATTGGCTGTAAAACAGGGCAGGGGGCACAGAGGTGAGGAATCAGATGTGCCACAAGGAAGGCCAATAGCAATAAGCAAGCAGAGTTCGTTGTTCTGTCCCAAAACAGTTTTAAAGTCTCTGCTCTCCATCACTGATTTCCATCTCCTTCAACAAGGGAGATGGTGATAAAGAATAGGTAGCACTGATGTTGTTTCCTAGTTTGGTAATAAAATGTCCGCAAGAAAACCACCAAGCTCAGAGAGCACCAAGGACCCCACAAGAGGTAGCATACAAAGTCTTCTTGAGGTACTGGGAAGTTTTGCAAAAGTGGTTTTCTAATTATCTTTCAAGAACTAGCCAGGTTTGACCCTGATTAACTGCTGAAATCAGCCAGAGTTGGCCAGGTGGTGGGTGCAGCTGCTCTGACCAGAAATTAAAGGGAATGGCCTTGTCCCAGATCCATCGGATTCATCCTAATAGCTTGTGGGACTCATCTCTCCTGCCCAGGAATGAAACCCCAGGGCTTTGCAGATACATAGCACATATTCTTCATCCAGGGTAGACGTTCTACCCCAGAGCACAGTCATTTGGGGATTTTGCAAATGCTGGGCTTCTCCTCCCTCTGCATATGGACACATTCCCACTCCTCCATCTCTTCCCCCCTCCCCACAGAGTTAATGGAAGGGGCAGAAAGCCAGTGAGCATCTGCTGGGGTAACTTGGCCCCATCATCTCAGATTTGCCCCAGTTCTCCCTTACAATGGCTGCAATTTAAAAAAAGAAAGAAGGTGGGGGGAAGGGAAGGAACCCCAGTTTAATCGTCTGAGCGGGAGAATCTGGGAAGTGAGTGTGTCTCGGCGCCCCTTCCCTCCCTGTAAAGCCAGCCTTTAGTAATTCAGTTTTAAAGCATGAAAAAAGGGAGTTGATGAAATTCCACTATCAGCACTGAGCCAATATGCAAAATATCTCGCCCAAAATCAAATAGCTATTATGTTTTCATTTCCATTTCAGCGTATTTGCTTAATGAAGAATAGACAGATCAGGCTGACGGAGGGAGTCTGCATGAAGTGATAACTCCTCTAGGCTCCGAGCAATCCCGTAGACAAGATGCCCAACTTGGCTCCCTCCCTCCTTCTTCCTCCCTTGCACCTCTTCCACACTCTTCCCCTCTTCTCTCCCCTTTGCCTGCCTTCCTCTCTTCCAAAGGAAGAGCCCAGCTTTGTCTAGGGAAGCTGGGGGTGGGGGTGGTGTTCGGGGTGTGTGTGACAGAGTCTCTGGGTGCATATGAACGCAGAGGGGACCTCTGGAATAATAGCTTTCTGTTTTTCCCCAAGGAAAAGAGTTGCAAATTTTTTATGTGGGTTCTGCCAACCTGCCAGGGTTCTTGGTTGAGTTGTATCAGGCTCCCCAAGAGATTCCCTGATTATGTAGCAACAGTTTTTAAGTCATAAATTATAAGCCTCAAAGGGGTTACACGTTGTGTGAAGTTGTGGTTTTCTGGATAAGCCACAGTTTGTGGAGTTAACTTATCAGGCTCGGCCATAAATCACAGATCTCTAACTGCATCCTGGCGGAAGGCGAGGGGCAGGTCCAGCCCCCCACGTAGGAGTGGTGAGACCTCAGTTTTTCCCTTCGGAAGTAAATAGAGATGTCAACCCCTGGACCTGGGCAGTTTTTCAGGGCACCAGGGGATCCCTCCATCCACCCCTTGGCCAACCTCTGGACCTTTTGCTGAACCTTTCTGCATCCCAGTGTTTGTAGTGTATTTCCTAGGCTTCCTTCATGGCCAAAAGAGCAATAAACTTGTTTTCAAAAATCAAAGTGGGGTTGAAGACTATAACGTACACCAAGCAAGGGGGTTCTATGTTGGGCAGCGAAGATGCCAGGGGGAGGCGTTTTGCTCCACTTCTAATCAGCCTGTCCCGTCCTCTTTCTTGAAAGGAGAAGGTCCTGTACCCTGTAAGGATGCCACTTGCCCCTCGTGCCCCCCCAGGAAAACAAAGCTCCCCCCCAAGAAGCAGAGAGAACCCCCGTGCCTTTTTCCAGACCTCAGCCACTCTCTGAGACTTCAGGCATGTATATTTACTCCGCCAGAACAAAGGCCCCATAATCTATACAAAGCAGACAACAATGAGCGTGAATAAAGAGGCTGCCAGAGAAGAAAAGGCAATTTATTCTAATGCTACTAATTTCTGTTCCAGCACAATTAAAAAAGCTCTGATAATATTCAGAAACAATCGCGAGCTAACAAATCGTTTCTCTCACTGTAAATTCGTTAGGCTAATTTTTTCTTTCACGCCTTCACGCTCCTGGTTCTGATAAAGTTAACCCGCTCGGTCCTTCCCTATTTCTTCTCTTGCCCGCTCCCCTTCCCCAGGGATAGGGGGACAGATAGAGGTAGCCGGAGGGCAGAGGTTAGAGACCCCCACGGCCCCTGGACCAGCATCTCCCCAGTGAACCTGGCTCAATCTGGCAATAACTGCTAGCATAGCTGGTTTTGGACTCTTCAGATCAGAGACAATCTTGTTTGGGACGCCCTGATGCTAGAAAAGCTTGGAGGCCTTGAGAAGACCCATGTTCCCTGTCCTTGGAATTGTGGCCCCCTGAGTGCCAGCATTGTCTATAGACTTGAGGAGGATTGAAAAATATTTTTCTTCCTGATTATGAGTTCCAGTCCTTTAAGGTTCTAGATCGGGCATGTGAGCCTTCTTCTGAACTATGAAGCCTGGTCCATTATGAGGTCTATCTGGAGGCCTTCTTTAACAGCATCCTGCCCTTGCGATCATTGTGGTGCCCCATGTTGCTTCCTCGTCTTGCCCTTGCAGCCCCAGTTGCAAAGAGTGTGTGTGTGTGGGGGGGGGTGTCAGTCTTCCCGATTGGCCATATCAGAAGCAAGGAATCCGTAAAGAAACCGAACATGTCAGTAGCCTTCACCGTCATGTATGTTTGGGCATAATGCTCCCTGTCTCTTGAGTACTTTTTTTTTTTATCAAGTCTTCTACTGCCATGACCACAACCTGTGTGCCTCCATTCCCTTTTGACATGGCTTTAAGCTGTAGCTCTGGGTCCTACATTTTGGCACCATTGTTCTGATGACGCCCCCTCAGAACAGGTGTGATGCCAAGATAACGTAGGAGTCTTGCAAGGCTACCTTTAGATCAGGGGTGCCCAATGTTGGCAACTCTTATGACTGTGGACTTCAACTCCCAGAATTCCCCAGCCGGCCATGCTGGGTTTTCAACGAGGCGGGATCGGCCCCTAACCTAACTCCAGTCTTTCCGTTGCTCCTGCAGGCGCCTTGGGTGAGATGGACGAAGGAGCCGGGGGCCCTCTGGAAGACGACTGCCTGTCCGAGAAGGAAGGAAGCACTTCAGATCATGAAGGATCCTTGGAGGGCGACTCTGCCGGGTCCCCGGGCAGCGAGAGTGAGTGCCTTGGCTGGCTTGCCCGGGGGGGGGAAGGAGGGGGGGCAGTTTACCCATGCCCAAGAGCACCCTTACGACCACAATTGGGGCCAAAATTTCCACTTAATGTTAAACGGGTTTTGCCCCATTCTACGACCTTCCTTGCCTCAGTCATTAAGCGAATCACTGCTCTTGTTAAGTAAGTCACACGATTGTTAAGCGAATCTGGCTTCTTCCCCATTGAGTTTGCTTGTTGGAAGGTCGCAAAAGGGGATCACGTGACCCCGGGATGCTGCGACCGTCATAAATACGAGTCAGATGCCAACCAGCTGAATTTTGATCACGTGATCATCGGGATGCTGCAACGGTTGTTAAGTGTGAAAGGCAGTCGTAAATCACTTGTTTTCAGTGCTGCTGTAACTTTGAACAGTCGCTAAACTACAGTTTATAAGCACCTGTAGTGCTCTTCTACGTCTGCCATCTGCCCCTCCCCCAATATATTTTGGTGTTTTCCCGGAAAGGCTCCGGTAGAAAAGTCCAGACGGACGGTCTCCATTCCAAAGAGAGGGACAGTCACTTCTCCCGGTAGAGGCTCTGGGGATCCTGAGTTTCCTGAACTATGACCTCCTTGCCGGGGGGGAGGAGGGGGCAGCGGCTGCCAACGGCTGCCCAGGATTGGCGGCACCGCAGTTACAATCGATCCCTGCCCTTCTCTAACAAAGCGCCCGCGTCTATTGTGGCTCCTCCTGGAAAGACGGCCAGGGGAGTGCTGACCTCGGACTTTCCTCCTCCTTTGCTCAATATTTCCACTTGCCCGCAATTAACAACTTTGGCAAGTAAGGTCGTAAGATGGGGCAAAACTCACTTAACAACGTCTTGCTTAGCAACATAAATTGTAGCTGTAACTCAAGGACTATGGATTTCTTGTCCCGCTCTGGAACTATCTTTCCCCCCCTTTGCGTTGCAAGACAGTCACACTCCTAATCATGGTGACCTTTTGATCCGTCAAAGAGCCATCCCTCTCCTACCTAGGGGGCTATGCATGCATGTGGCTGGACCGTGGGAGTCGTGTGTATTGCATGCAGAAATCACGAGCAAGCATGCCTCATTTATTGTCCTTCACCCAGCGGTCAAAGCGGGTGGATATTTGGGCAAGTGGGCATGGGGTTTGGGGCTGGGGGCTGGGAGGAGGCTTGTGAAAGGCCAAGGGTCAGGCTCAGTGGCAGAGTTCGATCCACCCAGCTGGTCTGCAGAAGGAAAGTGGGGGGGGGCTTTATCGGATGTCAGAGCTCTCTTCAAAAGCCTCTGGCGGGGGTGTGTGAGAAAAGAGCCACAGAGAAATCTCTCCCTCCCGGCTGAGCGGCGCACCTGGCACTAGCGCCGTGATAAAAGAAGGCGATAGTGCGTGATAACGGGCCGGCTGCAATAACTGTTGCTCCCGTGGTGCATAGCAAGAAGCTTTCAGCGGGATGGATAACAATCAATATGCCAGCCACTTTGATTTATAGCCCCAAATAATGGGACTTTTATACCCGCCGATTGATTTGATATTAATCATCGCCTCCCCACCCTCGTCACCTGTATTAATAATAATGGCCCGTGCCCGTTGACGTCACGCACGCACACAGACCCAGCCTGCTAGGTGCCGTTTATGGGGCCTGTGGATTGGAACAAGCCTTCGAAAGGCAAACATGCCCTGTGCCACTAGTCTTTCAACTGGCAGGTAATGGTGAGAATAATGGTTCTCGGTTGTTCTGAGGGCAGCCCAGGTAAAACTGGCCCAGGAAGGGGCTTCTCCTTGGGGTCAACCAGCCGAGGGTGGGCCTGGGTTGGGGGCAAGCCCAGCTCCCGTACTCCCTAGGTTTAACAGTTGACGCTCTCTTGTTCCTGGTCTCAAAGTTATTGAGCAGGAGCCTCCAGCCTTGGCAACCTTAAGACTTTGGACTTCAACTCCCAGAATTCCCCAGCCAGCCTGGGGAATTCTGGAAGTTGAAGTCCACAAGTCTTAAAAGTTGCCAAGGCTGGAGGTTCCTGCTCAGTAGCTTTGAGAATTCTAGCTAGACAACCTGGAAGTCACAGCTGATTCTGCTCAACCAGTTCTTCACTTGTGCCCACTAAGATATGTGTGCATGGGGAGAGGGTAGTTATCACAGATCTTGTACTGGTGTATATGTGTATGTGTGAGAGAGAGAGAGAAGTGGGAATGGACTTCCATGTGGCCATTCATCAGCTCCTTCCACTCGCTTTCTGGCAATTTGTTCTCTGGAGAAAATCCTTTCTTCATATCTAACAGCTTCAAATCCTGTTTTGAGAAGTTTCAGTTGATCCTCCTGCTATTTTAGCACTGCAGTTGTTTTGGAGATAATCCTTTAACTGCTAGGGGAAGCTTGCATGATCGTTGATTTCTAAGAGTCCTCCCCAAATTTGTTTGTCGTTCTGTTGTTTTGTCTTATCGTGGTCATCGCTGTTTTGAAGTATTGTTAGCCATCCATGAAGGGGAAGGATGTGACCTCTGCTGTGGCTTTAGGACTTGGTGGCCCTCAAAGTAGGCTTGATAAGCTTGTTATTTGTGAACCAGAGGAAAAGCATAACAAGGACACAACTCCTTCATCTTCTTTGTTGACCAAGTACCGTAAATACAGAAACCAAAACAAGGGTTTCTTTTTTTGAAATTGTGGTTTTGGATCATCAAGTGCAACCCAAAATGTTCTTAGGAAGCCATAAAATACAGGTAGTCCTTGACTTACAGCCACAAGGGAGCCCAAAATTTCTGTTACTAAGTGAGACATTTGTTAAGCGGGTTTTGCCCCATTTTACGACCTTTCTTGCCACAGTTGTTAAGTGAATCACTTAATTCCTTGGATCAAGAAGGTGGTTTCTCTTGTTGTGGATCATGTCCTGAATGAGAGCACTAACTGAGCATGAAACAAATGGGGCTTTAAATCTGTGGTTCCTTTTTGATTCCCACCATTTTAGGGGCTGATCCCCAAAACCCCAAATTCAGGGTCAAATTTCGACAGATAATAATAATAATAATAATAATAATAATAATAATAATAATAATAATAATAATAATAATAATAATAATAATAATAATAATAATAATAATAATAATTTAATTTATACCCCGCCCTTCTCCTCACCGGACTCAGGGCGGCTAACAGCCTTATAAAACCACAATACAATACATATCTATATTAAAACCAAATTAAAAGAANTCAACTGGCAGGTAATGGTGAGAATAATGGTTCTCGGTTGTTCTGAGGGCAGCCCAGGTAAAACTGGCCCAGGAAGGGGCTTCTCCTTGGGGTCAACCAGCCGAGGGTGGGCCTGGGTTGGGGGCAAGCCCAGCTCCCGTACTCCCTAGGTTTAACAGTTGACGCTCTCTTGTTCCTGGTCTCAAAGTTATTGAGCAGGGGCCTCCAGCCTTGGCAACCTTAAGACTTTGGACTTCAACTCCCAGAATTCCCCAGCCAGCCTGGGGAATTCTGGAAGTTGAAGTCCACAAGTCTTAAAAGTTGCCAAGGCTGGAGGTTCCTGCTCAGTAGCTTTGAGAATTCTAGCTAGACAACCTGGAAGTCACAGCTGATTCTGCTCAACCAGTTCTTCACTTGTGCCCACTAAGATATGTGTGCATGGGGAGAGGGTAGTTATCACAGATCTGTATATGTGTATGTGTGAGAGAGAGAGAAGTGGGAATGGACTTCCATGTGGCCATTCATCAGCTCCTTCCACTCGCTTTCTGGCAATTTGTTCTCTGGAGAAAATCCTTTCTTCATATCTAACAGCTTCAAATCCTGTTTTGAGAAGTTTCAGTTGATCCTCCTGCTATTTTAGCACTGCAGTTGTTTTGGAGATAATCCTTTAACTGCTAGGGGAAGTTTGCATGATCGTTGATTTCTAAGAGTCCTCCCCAAATTTGTTTGTCGTTCTGTTGTTTTGTCTTATCGTGGTCATCGCTGTTTTGAAGTATTGTTAGCCATCCATGAAGGGGAAGGATGTGACCTCTGCTGTGGCTTTAGGACTTGGTGGCCCTCAAAGTAGGCTTGATAAGCTTGTTATTTGTGAACCAGAGGAAAAGCATAACAAGGACACAACTCCTTCATCTTCTTTGTTGACCAAGTAAATACAGAAACCAAAACAAGGGTTTCTTTTTTTGAAATTGTGGTTTTGGATCATCAAGTGCAACCCAAAATGTTCTTAGGAAGCCATAAAATACAGGTAGTCCTTGACTTACAGCCACAAGGGAGCCCAAAATTTCTGTTACTAAGTGAGACATTTGTTAAGCGGATTTTGCCCCATTTTACGACCTTTCTTGCCACAGTTGTTAAGTGAATCACTTAATTCCTTGGATCAAGAAGGTGGTTTCTCTTGTTGTGGATCATGTCCTGAATGAGAGCACTAACTGAGCATGAAACAAATGGGGCTTTAAATCTGTGGTTCCTTTTTCATTCCCACCATTTTAGGGGCTGATCCCCAAAACCCCAAATTCAGGGTCAAATTTCGACAGGTGTCCTTTAATACCTTCTGTCTTAAGGTGCTTCATGCAAGTTCAGTGCCTTTTGTTTTCCTCCCCAGCTCCCCCCCCCCCCATTTTTCTGTGGCATCTTTCCTGATCTAGTGAACAGAAAAGCCTGTTCCTTCTTGTGGGGGCTTTGAATTGGCATAATAAATAATCATAATATAGGCGTCAAGGATTTTTCTCACCCTGTTCCTGTCTGAATCCTCCCTTGCTTGGCAGCCGACTGTCTCCCTTCCGAGGCCTCTTATTTATTTGTTTATTTGGCTCCAGGTTCTTTCCTGAATCAAAGCCAAATATTTGCTGAGGGTATATTCGTTATATATTAAGTTTATAAGGCCACCCAATTCCATAAGAACCCCAGGCAGCGGACAATGATAAAAATCACTGCCAAAGAAAAGAAGACATAAATAGTTTCGCATCAATCTTTTTCCTGTGGGTCCTTAAACATCAGATGGCCCAGTTCTTCTCAACATCAGAGTCCTAGCCCGGGAGGTGGACTGCATCAAATCACAGTGAAAGTGGACAGATGATGGTTTATTAGATGGAGAAGTGACTTGGAGAGCAGATGAGCAAGGGAAAAAAAGTTATATATAGCTTCCTTTTCTTTATAAAGTTTTTTTGAAAGTGTGGCCCCCATTCTAAGGTTCCAGTCTCGCCTGATGTACAGTCCTCTTCTAAGAAGTGATATCTAGGTTGGGAATCTCACCTGTTGTTTGGGAAAACCAGCCTTATTTTTCCTAGCCCCTTTAGTTCTACTTCCTTAAATCATTTCCTGCAAGGAAGAAGAAAAGGTAAAGGAAACCATGGGAAGACTAAGGAGGGACCCTAATGGGAGATGGTCCTTCATGGTTCCATGCCTCATCTGGAAAATATCTGAAGGCTTTGCTTTCTGGTGCCCACCGCTAAGCCTTTATGGGCCCTCTGGTTGAGATGAAGCCAGGCGAACAGCTGAGCAGGAATCTCCTGCCCTAACCACTGATTGTATCTTCTTTGTGGGTTTTGAAATGCGATTGTGATGTTTCCTCTTTTGATTTCAGGGGCCGAGTCCAAAGAGGAGAATCTAGAAGAGTCAGATAAGACACAAATGCCAGAGACCGATCTGTGGATGGGGCCAGGTAAATCTCCTCTCTTCGCTTTCTCAAAAGCACATGGTTCTCGGCATGGAGCATGACGGGGAGCATGGAAGCTGCCTGCCACATCCAGCTTGGTTCTGCCTGACTTGGTTCTGCCCAGCTGTGAAACTTTATACAATACCAAGCTTTGGCCTATGAATTATCTTCCCAAACTGATATTTAAAAGCCTCTGTTCACTTGTTTGGGACAGCTCTGAAGGAAGGGGTCCCTTTTAAGAATCAACAGACTAGAATGGGAGAGTTAGGGGAGGAAGTGCCCCATCTGATTGCTTTCTCCCACATCACTGATCATGACTGTTTGTTTTCTGTAACTGGAGGCACATCAAAAAGCTTCCAAACTCAAGCTAGCTTGGGAGCTGTGACTATCGTGTGACTATGCTAGTTCAGAGGTTTAGGGAAGCCGGATCCTGCTTTTGGTGTTTGGTTTGGACTTTAAACTGTAGGCTGACACGGTATGCGGGGAAACGGTTGGGCGTGCCAGTCTCCATCTGTTAACAGAACAGTAAGGAAGTGTAAAAACAGAAGTTCAGATATATGTGAGATACGCAGTGGCTCCATTCGGGGTGATGGGCACGGTAGCTTGGATATAAGTGAAGTAGCTTGGAGCAGCTCTTGTGCCTTGTGAAAGTGTGTGTCTCTCTCTATGGCAGGAGATCTCGGGCTCAACCAAAGCCTGACGATTAAGGCTGCCTGTAGAGTAGACCAAAGGGAGTGGAAGGGACCAGGGATCTGGTTGTCCATTGGCTGCTGTCATCACACGGCACCCAACTTGTAGGCAAAGGGTCCTTGGAAATGCCTGCTTGTTGGAGAGCATCTTTTAATGTACCACCCAAAGGTCAAATGTGGTCCTTGGTCCACAAAAGGATCCTGACACAACCTTCGTCTTATTTGAGGACGCCCAACCTATATTGAGCCAGGCTGTGAAAATGTCTTCTTTCCATCTGGAGCCATAGCTGGACACCAGAGGTCTCAGGACATTGTGTGGGCCAAGTCATTTGTCTGAAATGGTGTAGGGTTCCTGCCTGAGCAGGGGGTTGGACTCGATGACCTCCAAGGTCCCTTCCAACTTTTTTTTAATTATTATTATTATTATTGTTGTTATTATTATTATTATTATTATTATTATTACTACTACTACTACTACTACTACTACTTTCCCACACAGTTAAAGGCAGCTCCTTGTGTATTTCTCCATCTTTTTCCAAGCAGCTCAGAGAAAAATGCTTGGAAAATGCAAGGTTCTATTTTACCTTAACAATAACTTTGCAAGACAGGCTAGGCCAAGAAATCAAAGAATAGCCTTACAGCATCTTTGAACCTCTCAAATCATATCATTTGCATGGATGAACATGCATGCATTTGTACCCACATCCATGTTTAGTTCTTCTTTCATGACTGGTTAAAAAAAAATCTATGCTCACCTAAAATTATTTACAGGGCTTATATACAAAATGAAGCCAACAGAGAGAGAAGGTTCTCCTTGCAAAAGTCAAATTTGCTCCAGTTTCTGCTCTAAGAGCTTGAATGCCTCCATCTGTTGTTCTCATGGGTTTTGTTTCTTGAAAGGAAGGGAGAATTACTAAGGAGACCCCCCCCCTGCTCCTCGTTCACCCGGGTCAGTTCGGAAACACACCCAACCTAGAGATGGCTGGCGTGGAGACTCCTTCCATGGCCTGAAGGCATTTTTCCACTCTTTCCCCAGCTGTTTTGGAATATCTTTTCTCCCAGCATTCCTCTGCTTTCCCCTTTTCTTTCTTCTCCAACTCCCCTTCTCACATCTGGCTCCTAGTCCAGGAAGGGAAACGAGTGTTCGCAACCTGGCTGATACCCTTGGCTCTTCCTGGATGTGTGTTGACCGGAAATAGATCTGCAGAAAGTCCACAGCTTCTCCTTGGTTATCTGCTCTCTCCCATCCCTGACCTTTGCCCTGTGGGAGCCAAGCCTGCTTGGCCCCTGATCGTCGCTGGTAGTGATGGTCCTTGGCCCACATGCCAGGACGTCCTTCCCACCACATTGTAAGCATCCTGGAGGACAGCAGTTGGCATTCCTGGCCCCGGTGGCTTTATTCTTCAACCAACAGTTTGTCGAGTCTTCCCTGTTGACTGAATGCTCAGTTTAAGAATCTTACCTTCACTGAGGATGACGCAAGTGAAAACTATCCGGCCCGGGTCCAGAGGGGAAATCCCATGCTTTTCCCCCAGGGCCAAGCGCCACCTGGGAGAAACAAGGAAGAATGAATGGAAAGGGGTTGCAAAATCAGAGAGGGAGGCTCAGTGTGCTGCAGGCGGGAGAATTCTGGGAGTTGAAGTCCACACATCTTTTAATTATACTTTATTAAATTTCTACCAAGAAGAATAAGGAAACTGAAAAAAAACGTAGGGAGGGGCAAAGTGTAAGGGGGAAAGGAAGAGGGGGAAAAAACAACAAAAAAAGCAACTTGCATCTTTCTTTGATATAGTTACAAATATAAAATACATTCACCTTTTGATCTGAAGTTCAGTAATACGCCGTGTTTCTATCATCAGAAGCAATTGTAATGGGCACAAAATTAATGCAGCGCTTCTTTTGGTCTCAAGCAAAGAAGTCCAAAGTGGTTTCCCCTTAGAAGCAGAGCTGAAATCCGCACATCTTAAAGTTGCCCCCGTGGAGAAAGACTGGCATAGATTGTGCCACCTCGGTTGGAAATGTCCCAGAGGATAATTCTCTGCTGGGACCCCAAAAGGCCCCCTGGGACCCCAAAAGCCACCGGGGCCGAGTTAGTTAGGACCCCTGATATGTTCAGAGCCCAGTCCTTCCCTGCTGGAGAAATCCTGCCCTCCTGCCTCACTGGTCTGTACCTTCCCTGAGGCGGAAAGCAGGCCTAGAAAAGGCACACACACACACACACACCCCACTGCCGCGACTGAACCCCGTTTGGCTCTGTGCGTTCTGCATGCAAAAGAGATTTTATTATCGCTCCGTCCAGCCCATCTCCACTGCGGTAATTGGAGTGATATTAATTTCTGTGTGGCTGGGAGTCGATCTTGGTCCGGCGATACGGGGGTGATAGAGCCCTTCCTTTCTGCGCTAACCGCCACGATAGGCCTTCTATCAGTCCCCGTGCAGGCAGCGCACTTATCAGGAGGAGAATGGCAGAAAGAGGGAAGGAAAGAGGAAAAAGAGGACACTGTCAGTAGAATTTCTTCTTTATCTGGCAGGATCCGCCGTGTGTCAGCTCTGGCAGGCAGGAAAGGCTTGGAGACACAGAGAGCAGGCAGGGCAGCTGGGAGTTGGGCTTCTGTTCCTGAAACTGGCAAGTTTGGGCTATTCCAAACCTTCCTTCCTTCCTACTTTCCTTCCTTCCCTCCCTCCCTCCCTTCCTTTTTCTGATCTTCCTCCCTCCCTCTGATCTCCCTCCCTCCCTTCCTTCCTTCCTTTCTTCTCCCTCTCTCCCTCCCTCCCTTCCTTTTTCTAATCTCCCTCCCTCTTCCTTCCTTCCTTCCTTCCTTCCTTCCTTCCTTCCTTCCTTAGCAGCCTCACTCTCCTTGCCCAAGTTGGCAGAGTTCAGCACAGCCTCCCTCAGGGGCAGCAGCTGTGGGGAGATGCCTCTGCAGCCTCTGGAGAGCCCTGAGGGACCAAGAGTGCGTTCTCCACTCCCAGTGAGGTGCAGCTCCAGCTTGGCAGCGTCTTATGCACCAAGTTCTTGAGACTACTTTTGGGTGCCAGCTGTGGCTCCCCTTTGTCCCGAGAAAAGTGCCACAGATGGCTTGAGGCTGAGGACTGCCTAGGCAATTCAGACCCATTTGTCTTGGTGGTTGGGCTCTGCGTTCAGGTCCGTCTCCAGATGCGCCTATCCGGCCAATCACAAATATTCTGTTGCTGCTGCTGCTAGGATGAAAGGACGAGGCTCTTCTCTGAGAACTGCCTCGTGTCTGCAGAGAAACAGCTGGATATAAAGCAAGTCAAAAAACAGGCACATAAGCCAGTCAGGTCATCAGATGCACCTGAAATACAAATCTGAGTGTTGGATGGGAAGGGACAAGGAGGTCTTGGAGTAGCTACGGGTGAGGAGAATTGTGTGGAACCTCCATGTTCAGGGGAAGTCTATCTCTAAAGAGCAGCTCATTGGCGGCCAACCCAAAAGCACTTTGGGTCCCTCTCCTGAGTTGGCAGAAGCGGGCCAGAAGAGCCTCATTCTGAAGCCACCTGCCATTCATGGGGGGCCAGGTCCCCTTGTTCCCCGATGCAGCCGTCCCTCTCCAGCCCCAGCAGCTGCAGCACAGACCGGGGGGGGGAGCGGAGAGGGCAGGGAGAGTGCTGTGCCGCCGCTGCCCGCTGTGCCAAGCATAATGCAAGAGTCAAGGGGGAGGAGAGGGACGGGATTATTTTTCCCTTCCCTTTTTAATCTTCCGTTTGACCTTGCTCGCTGGAAGGGTCTAGGCTGCTTTAAAATTCCGATATGCAAATCTGTGATAGCTCCAATTTATAATCCTCAACTTGGGCACTGTCGCAGCGGATGAAACAGCCTCGTGCCTTGGTTTCCCCGTCCCTCAGGTTGGCAGCTCAGCCGCTGGAGTTGTCCCCAACCGGGAGGGGGGGCGCTTGCCTGCTCCATCTCGGCCCCCCGGGTGGAGCTAAGATGGAAAGAGGCTCCCTTTGCTTGGAGCTGCTTAGCATCTTCCTAGAGAGGCCCCAACAAGCCAGCAGGGCTGAAAAGAAAACTGGGGTTCCAGTAAGCGCCCCGCTTCACTTTCCCCCTCGCTGTAGAAAATTCAAGGGGTTCTTGAGGACCAGCTCTTGCCTGGGCTTTGGGAAGAATAGAAACCAGGTGCTGGTGGGGCTTTTGGGTCTGGGCGGTGCTAGATTTCATGTGTGAAGATCTGCATCTAGCGATAGTGGTTGACTGATGGTTAACCGCTTGTCTGAAATGGTATAGGGTTTCCTGCTAGAGCAGGGGGTTGGACTAGAAGACCTCCAAGTTCCCTTCCAACTCTGTTATTCTGA